GTGTGACAAGTATGTGTTTGTGTTCTTATATATATATATATGTGTGTGTGTGTGTATGTATGTGTGTGTGTGTGCTTGTGTGTGTAGCGTGTAGGTCTTGGTTGGTGTGTGGCAGATCTCAGCTACAACCCACCACTGCCTGTAGTGCTATGCAGAAGAAGCACAGGCACTTTAAGCTAATTATACAAGTACACCGGCAACATCAATTGGTATGGCAATGTCTAAATAGTCACAACAGCAGTGTAGTCCGAACGTTTCTCCGACAGAGCCCATGACCAACACACAGCCACCGCACACTACAGCGACGCCCAAGCCAGTCTCACAACCCAACCCCCTCCAAACACAAACACCCACTCGCTCCCAATCGCACATCAAGCTCGTATCCCCGAAGCCGAAGTTCGGGCAGATATTTCGTCGCACCTTCAGCGCCGTGTCGAAGTGTGTGATGGCGGCCACGGTGATGTTCACGCGGAACTCTTTGAGGTCGTGCGATGGACAGGGCACAGTCAGCGCCGCCAGTTGACGCCGCACGTCACTCACCACTGCGTGTGTGTGGCGTTTGGCTTCGCTTTCGATGTTCTTTTTGTTCTGAATACGCACGTTGGTTAGTTCCGTCTCAATCTTGGTTTCTGTACGAGATGAGAAATCGGCGGATAGCGTCAATTCCTAAATTGCTTGGCATGAGATTAATAATGTGCATAACCACTGACCCCGATTTCAAAATCGGCTTTGTGGTCTGTGTCAGATTTTCATCCAACTTCGAAAAACCTGATACGGGCTGCCGAACCCGTTTGCCAGCGCCAACTCTTATTACTTATCATTCGTCCTCCGTTCAACACAGAGACTCTGATTTGCGAATATCTGTCATGGATGCGCTAGTGAGTGGAAAGGGTGTGTACACAGAGACGGCATGGCACACGTCCAGAGATTCATATAAATGGACAGTGAGAGAAGTAGGGAGTGCTGAAAGTATTTGAGATGTGTAAACCCTAACCAGCCCTAACCCTAACACTCTAAAATCCCTAACCCTAACACTATAAAATCCCTAAACCCACCAAGCACTTTGGCTGAAGATTCGACTGCCGTTTGGAAGCCCAGCAGCAAATGTCGCAGAACGGCGAGTGCCTTCTGCACCGCAGCTGTGTGTCGTTGCTCTAAAACATCTTCTGGGACAGCCTGAGTGCAAGACAACAGGATCAATGGTGGCATACCCTATTAATAAACCCTTAAACCTTAAAACCCTAGAACCACGTACTACAAGAATGTCCATAATAAACAGTGATAGTGGGGTTGAAAACCTAGATCATATGTGCGCTGCTGAATATTGCATGAGGGTAGTGCTGCGAGTGTGAATATAGGCACTATCTATAGTGTTTAGTAGTTCAGCTGCTGAGCACGTAGGCTATAAAGAGCGTTTAACTATTCAGATGCTACTTCTTCTACAACGTTACTAGTCTGTGCAGAGATCAAAACCAAAGGCATTATGTGCGATGCCCTACACACCCGCCCATACACTATCACAACAACACATGCAGCCAACACACAACAACACGCGTACACGCACGTGGCAAATATATCCAAGATAACCAGCATCCCCAACAAATACCCTGCACACTCAACCCAACAAAAACCCTAAACCCTAAAACATATTTCTAAGATAAACAGCATCCCCAGCAAATACCCTGCACACCCAACCCAACCGAAAGCACCCACCCCACTGCACTCCGCACAATTCACTGGGACGCTGAGCTCTGACAGACCGACTCTCTGACAGTCTGACCACTCC